AATACAAGTTATTGTTGCTATAAACCTAGCCCATTTAATGAGAGTTGATTCTTTTTTTACCATCAATTCAAGTTCCCATAAAGTTGTACTCTATTTAATGTGAGGGTATTTTAGAAAAATAGCAATCTAAATTTACTTTTCCAACAAAGTTAACTACTTTTTCTTAAACTGTGTGAAAAAAGAAACAGGACTATCAAAGTGGGACGGAGGGAGTAATTGTTTTTTAATTTCTCTAAAATACCCTTATTTAATGTAAGTTGTTATTACTATAAACTACTTTATTTAATATAGATTGTTAGTATTGAATATAACCTAACCCATTTAATGCATTTAGATTTTCCAAAACATATTGATATATGAAAAATCAACTTTATTTAATGTATGTAAGGGTATTTTCTAAAGTTAACTATTTTTTCTTAAACTGTGTGAAAAAAAACTAGGACTATCAAAATGGGATAGAGGGAGTATCAAAAAAGTATAATTATAACAATTTTGGTAGTGGGGTATTTATCCTGAATTGCAAGATTAATAGCCGAAACAAGGGGGGGGGGGAATAAAGGCTCTGTTTCAGTGATAGTTGGTCAAATTTTTTTAATTAGTATTGATTTTTCAAGAAAGATAATAAGGACAAAATAAAACAGAGAGCAGGTATGTGTTTAAGCAAGTATATACTTTTATAAATTTATTGTAGGTAAAAATATTGTTCTTGCACAGTAACTCAATAAACAGAAAAAATAGATATACACAAATCTAAGAAAAATACACAATTCCACGAAATGATGACCAAACGTTTTAAACCATTGAGCTCTTAGATTAATGGCGACCACCAAAGTTGGTAGGGTGGTGGGTAGGAGGTCAGAGGATCAAACCCTGCCTTCCGCCATTAGCCCTAAAAATGTGGCAAGCCATTTCGAATGGCTTTAAAACACTTTCGCTAAGATTTTGGAATCCTTGAAAAAACGTGAACAACTTGGAGTGAGTCAATTCCCTTTTATGGAAGAAAGAAACGCACCTTGGTTGAGTCTGAGAGCCTGTTGCAAGAAAAGACCAAATTGCTATTAAATGCCAATTCGCAACTCAAATAATGTTCAAATTGCTATAAAATACCAATTCCATTTGCATAATTTCTTAGCTTGGGAGGTTTCTTGGACCTTTAGAAATAACAATACGGTCGCTCACCTTTTAGCTAAGAATATATTATGAATTCCAAATTGTTGTACGTGGAATGACTCTCTATCTTCCTTTGTTATTTCTGCTCTTGAAGCAGATTTAATATGCTATTAATAAAATTTGCCTGTCTTTATATATATATTAATGTTTAGATTGCCTTTATCCATAGAGAAGCATTTTTCATCAAACTGGATAAATTTTTTTTTTTTTTGTCAAATGTCAACTTGTATATATGAAACTGGATAATTGATCCATAGACAATTTTGCATTCTTGTGATTGTCACCTGTTGTTTATTATTAGTATTTTTCCAGAATGTGCTGTAATGCTATGTATAATGATATTGTACTGCAAAGAACAGGTGCATAAGGTCTGAGTACAATTATATGGCTTTTACACCAACTTCTGTGGCAGCTAATAAATACAACAACTAAATAAAATTGAATTGAACTATGGCAGCAAGGGCAAGGCCTCAGACAGACACAAAATTTTACCATTCAAATCGTAGTTTAGTGCATTAAATTAGGAAGTCCACAAAGGAAAATCCCAAAAAGAACAAAAGAAACTAATTTATTGCGTGTCCCCTTTTGTTTTTTGGGCAAATTTTATTTTACCCCCTGTGGTTTAGCCTTTTTTATACATAACTCCCATATAATTTCAAAAACTATACATAACCCCCTCATGATTTGGATTAGAGTGTCAAAGTGACGGAAATAGTCACTCGTAACGGAACTTTTGAAAATGTCAAAATTACCCTTATAAATACATGACACATTAACCTTGTATGATTTTTATATTTTACCATATAAATCCTTTATAGTTTAATACATTACCATATAACCCCCTTATGATTTTCAAAATATACACATAACCCCCCTTGGTTAATAAATAATTTTCAACTTTACATAAGGGTATTTTTGACATTTTAGGTGACTCCGTTACGAATGACTTTTCCCGTCACTTTGACACTTTAATCCAAACCATAATGGGGTTATGTATAGTTTTTGAAACCATAGAAGGATTATGTAAAAAAATGCTAAATCACAGGAGGGTAAAATGGAATTTACCCTTAGTCAATCGATAACATTTACACTACTCTTATACTAGTCGGTACTAGGGGAGGGTCCAACTTTAGAAACTCATATTTTTACATATATTTTTTGTATTTGTATTTGTATTGTGCAGATGACTATCTTAGCCAAGAGTGCAACCAAAATCTCCTCAATTGCGTGAATGGATTCTACAAGTCAGGGGCACGAACTTTTAAAGGGAACACTTGTTCAGTGGATGAAGTTGTTTTCCTTATGAGAAAGGTGATTGGTGCAGCCATATTGGCTGGAAGAATATTGCATCATAAACAAGATGGAGTGTAGAAACCTGTTTAACTTTGTTGTTAATTGTAAACCTTAGCATCCTTTTGCTCTCTTTTGGTTCTAATTCTTTTATTTTTGTCAACAACTGTTATTAAAATGAAATCCAAATGGGCTGAAGTTTGTTTTTCCTTGCTTGTTTCACAATTTTGTCTGATAGACAAAGCTCATAAGGAGGAGTGAACTTTGAGAAACCTTTTATGTTTTTCTAACTTTTGAGCCTTTGGGAGTCTTGGGGAAATTGCCAAAATAGATTCTCACATTTTGTTCTCTCAATATTTGTGGTTTGTACTTCTATAACACTTCACTTTTAAAATGATGAATTGGTCCCTCACAGATCCAAAACCTTCATCCCAAACTTGTTTTTGGTTACATTTGCCTAAAATTAATAAACACATGCACCAATTTTTTGGACCATGAAAAGAGCATCCACCCAAATTTTAAACGCATAAAGTTGCATCTTAGTTATACATGGTTAAATTATCGTTAAAGAATAACATTACCAATCAAGCTTGAAAATCTTCTAGTTCTAAAAATTAAGACTCCAGAATCCTTCCTTGTAATCTGTGATTTTTTCCCTTCAAAACCACTTAAAGGAATCAACTCACAACAATCTGGATTGTCAACACATCTAGCTTTTTTGGGTCAATTCATCCAAGGTACATTTGAATCAGAGATTGTGCTCTCGCAATTCCTTCTAAGTTGCTCGTTTCATTGCCTTCTCTTGTGGAAGGTTTACCTTTTCCTCTTCATTCTTTGAAATCTTGAATGCTTGAAGTTAGTTATCATATCATTGACTCTTTCATATTTGAACTTTCAATGCCCACTATGTTAAATTCACGTCGACTATATATTGGGGTTGGTCCAGTGATTTGTTGTCAGATTTAAGGTTTGAATCGTGGGCTTTTTTGTCGTCTTTATGCCAGCAACGATGCTAAACTCCATGTTTTACACATCTCAATATAAAAACTCATTAGAACGGCTCAATTCACAAGCCGGCACATTTTAATGGGTTTAGAATGAAAGAAATCAGATGTGCATTTTTAACAATTTAATACCTTAATTAAATTTCGCAAAAATAAACTTCTTACAAAAACCAAAAGGAAAAAAACAGAGACATCTGTACATCTGTTCGATGCAGACGATGGACATAGTAGCCGATTAGAGTGCCAAATTTAATAGCGGGTCATCCGGGGAATTGTCTCTTTTGAGAGCCCTGCTCTAAATTTGCTTTATAGTCTGTGGAAAAAATCAAAGAGTACTAAGAAAGGAAGAAATGTTTCCTACTTGTGTTGATTGTGTCTTGAAAACACTGGAACTGCAGCTGGCCGATCCATGCTTAACTCTTCCAAGGAAACATCCAATCCAAAATCTTCAGATGGAGTTAAGGTTCCTGAAGTGCTATTTCTGGTGCTTTTCAACGCTTGCAGGTGCGGATTTGAACTTTCCCATGAACAATGTTTGGGCCGGAATTGATTTTAGTCTTTCTATAAACTACAAGAGATATTATACACATTTCGATAGTGCTGTGTCCACAGCACTAGCAAAAGTTCAGCTTTATAAGCCAAAGATCAGAAAATCCTGTATTGCTTTTTTAGAACGCTCATCTGTATTAATCCAGCCTCGCAAGATTTATGATATGGTTGAATTCCTAGACTGCATCATCGAGAATCTGGAGTATCTTGTCAGCTCAAAAGCCAACATGAATCTTTGGGTGAAGGAGCAGATGGGATCCTCGGAAGAGAAGCTCAGGTTGTTGAGATCACTTCTTGTTCTCGCGGAGATAAGGTGCAGTAGGCATGAAATTTTGATTGATCATCTCTTGGTTCACAATCAAGCTTGGATTAATAGCATTGCTTGCCAATCACTTTTGCTGTGGATAGATCCTATGGATCAGAACAATCAGAAGGTGATAGAAATGCATCTCCAACATACTTATAGTTCTCTGACAGCTAAAGTTGTTGGTAGCTACATCGACATATTCTTACGAATTCTACCAGCTTCCATTAGAGATTATAATTACAGAGAAATTCTTGATGAGGGGCTTATATTCTTGATTGCTCTTGTGATGGAATCACCAAAGAAAGGGGTTCTGATACCAACAGGTGTCTCTGTCGATGAGGTTAGATTTCTCATGCACTCATTCCTTTCAGGGAGGAGGAAAGAGCACATTGCAAAAGATAGGGATGTTTTTCCAGATTATGTAGAAGAATTCTTATTGGAGATCAATAAAGTCAAAACAAAGGCAAGGGAGTTTTATACCCAAGATATTCATAAGTTGAGGTGGTTCAGGTCTCCCTTGACAAATGGAATTGGATTTATTGATTCTCTGTTGGAAAAACTGAAGGAAACATTGGAGGGCAAGGCAAAAGTGCTTTCCTTTGGAAGGCATCAAGTTGGAGTAATCCAAGAGGAGCTGAAATCCGTCAGGCCAGATCTCGACAATATATTGGAGCTGAAAAATGACTGAGGAACTCAGTGCTCTATGGACACAAATTGTCAATGTGGCATACCGGGCAGAACATGTTATTGACTCTTGCTTGATTGGAGATGGTCAAATTTGCTACCATGTTATATGTCTTTCTGATATCATAGAAGAAATTAAGCTCATTAAAAATGAGTTTAGGAAAATCAAAAGTAAGGAAGTCTACATCAGAAAAATCAGTGGCAACAAGGACTCAAGTAGGACGCTTCTAGCTCGAGCTAATACTTCAAAACTTGATGAAATTGTGGTGGGGTTTAAAGATGTAGCAGAAACAATACTGGATAAACTCAGGGGAGGATCAGCACGGCGTGACATTGTTACAATTGTGGGCATGGCAGGACAAGGTAAGACAACTTTGGCTAAGAAAATTTATAATGATCCTTTAATTCAGTATGATTTTCACATAAGTGCCTGGTGCTGCATCTCTCAAGTATATAAAAAGAGAAAGTTACTGCTTGACATTTTAAGTCATATTGTCGCACGTGATACAATAATTACAATGACTGATGAAGACCTAGGTGAACGACTTTGGAAATGTTTGAAGGGACATAAGTACCTCATTGTTATAGATGATATTTGGGATAGCAAGGCCTGGTATGACATAGAAAGATTCTTTCCAGATGACAACAATGGAAGTAGAATTATGTTTACTTCTCGAATCCACGATGTGGCTTTGCAAGTTAAGCCCAACTCCAACCCACTTCATCTTCGTCCACTATCTAATGAGGAAAGTTGGGAGTTACTTGAAAAGAAGCTGCTAGAAAAAGGTGATTGTCCATCACATTTGTCCGAGGTTGGTGAGCACATTGTGAAACTGTGTAAAGGGCTACCTCTGGCGATTGTTGTGATTGCAGGTCTTCTTACAAGGGAGACACATAACAAGATTAATTGGAAGCAAATATCTGAACATCTAGGTTCAAGACTTGCAAGTGAAGGGTACATGGACATATTAGAGCTAAGCTACATGCATTTACCGGATCATCTGAAAACATGTTTTCTTTACTTTGGAGCACTTCCAGAAGATAAAGTAATTAGCGCTCAAAAGTTGATCAAACTATGGATTGCAGAAGGATTTGTACGAAGAACTGGGATAAAGAGATTGGAAGATGTGGCCAAGGAGTACTTTATGGATTTAGTCAGGAGAAGTCTAGTAATTGTTACAGGAAGAAGTTCCACAGGCGGAATCAAAACATGTTACATTCATGATCTTTTCCGTGATTTGTGCTTAGCAAAAGCAAAAGAAGAACACTTTTTTCAGTTGGTCAGCATCTCTGGTGGACATGATCTTCCTCATTTTTTACTGAATCCCGTTAATTATGACCAATATCGGTTAATGGTTTATGGCGATTGGGATCATTTTGTCAAGTCCAGACCTGATGGCCTTCGCATCCACTCTCTTCTATTCTTCGCTGCAAATTCTTTGAATCCATTCCCTTGTGCTAATGCCTCTATATCTTTTGAAAGATTCAAGCATCTTAAGGTGTTAGATTTGGGCAGCATCTTTTTTGGCAGTTATTTTCCAAATGAAATTACAGTGTTAGTTCTGTTAAGATACTTGGAAATCGGGGGTAAGTTTAAAAATGTCCCTTCATCAATAGTGAACCTCAAGACCCTTGAAACTCTTGTAATCAAATCTGGGACATCGATTGTGTTACCAGCTATCATTTGGAAGATGAAAAGTCTGAGGAATGTGGATGTCAAAACTGACTTTGTTTTTGTGGAGGATTATAACAGTTTTGCTTCATTATCAAGCGTGGAAGTTCTGTCAACAGCTAGGATTTCTCTTTCACTAGTTACAATGCAGCTATTTGGAAGGTTACCAGCACTTCGAAAACTCAGCTGCATATTTGTAAAATCACGGTCAGGCGTCAGCAGCCCTTTTGAGTATCGATCATTGTTTGACTCCTTGAGAAGGCTAGAGTCCTTGAAAATAATTCAATGGGAAGCTTCGTGTCTCGAGTTTGATCAATTCCGAGCATTTGGAATTCCAAGAACTCTCAAAAAGCTGACTTTGTCAAGGCTTGGCCTGCCCTGGTGGGCAATTTCAGCAATTGGACAACTATCCAGTCTTGAGGTTCTCAAATTAAGAGAACATGCTTTTGCAGGTCCAAAATGGGACTTAGAAGATGTACAATTTCCAAACCTCAAACACTTAGAACTGTACAATTTGAACATTGAAAAGTGGATTAATGTCTCAACTGAGTCCTTCCCCTGCCTCCACCGGCTTGTTCTGAGACATTGTTACAGACTTGAGGAAATCCCACCTTGTTTTGGAGATGTTCCCACCTTGAAGATGATTGAGGTTCGTTTCTGCAGCGCAAGAGTCAGTAATTCAGCCAAAAGCATCCTCTGTGAACAACTGGACATGGGAAATGAGGACCTTGAAGTCCTGATATCTTAAGTTGATGCTAGTATCCGACTGGAGAATTCAATATGGTGCCCATCTTATTCACCAGAAGTAAGCAAATCAACTTTTTCTTTTTTGTCTTGCAAAAGCATCTTATTCGATGTGGTGCCATCTTATTCATAAGTTTCTCGTCTTAGCAATTGCATTGATAGCTATAAATTAATGCTGTGCATATTTACTGAGTTTACACTTTTTACTGGTGCACATGTAAGACTTTAGCATACCCAAGTGTACTCGGTATTAATTATAATCTTATGGGTAAATTAAATATAACTCCCTTACAATTTTGCATAATTCCAAATGACTCTTTTAAGGTTTCAAAATAGCCATATAACCCCCGTGGTTTTATACAAAGTGGAAAATGGACTAAATGCACAATCAGTTAAGTTACGGCAAGTATATGAGATGCACTCTAAAATTGCATGTGATGAAAGCAGAATATCTACTTAACTCTTTATGATTTACATAAATATCTACTTTACCCCCTATAAGATTATGTTGGTAAAAAGATTATCTAAAGTCTTATATTTAAGATTCAAGCGTGTAAAATTCTAATCTTTTTTTTATCTAAATTCTAGCTCCATCTTTGCTCGTTTAAATTACATTTCCTTTATTGGGAAGTAGTTATGAATATATCTAAGATTTTCTTTCTTTTTTTTTTTTTCTTTTTTGTAATCTACATGCATTAAGGGATGAAACCATTTTCTTCCGGGGAACTGAAATCTATTTATTCAATGAAACTTTTAAAATAATGGGACAAGACTGGTATTCATATTCTCGTCGCCTACACACATAATATAATTCTATGTGCACATGCTTTCTGAAACTTACCTCATGTAGCATCCAAAATTGCTTGGATTCAAAGGTTTGTGCTTTGGTACATTAAAATTTTGTGCATGGTATTTGTAAATCAAGATCTTGGAAGATTAAGAACTAAGCTGAGCACCTGCACTTGCTAAGTTGCAATTTAAAGTTCTGAATGCTACAAACTCATATACAAGTACTGTTACAAGATCTCTTTACAAATAATTCTAGCCCTTTTCTGCATGGTTGAATCTTCTTGATATTCCATTTTCTCTGCTCAGGATCAAGTTTCTGTCAAGCAATCGGACTACCTCAATCTGGTCCAGCATTTGTTATACTGGACTTGTCAAAATCAACCATTTGATACAATTCTTCTTCTTTTTTTTTTTCTGCAACGGTAGTTTTTGTATTAATTGGCAAAAGATGTATACTTATATGAGCAAAGGCTCAAGAAGTTCTATACAAAAGTGTTAGACACACTGAGGGTTGATCCATTCCTCATCTTGAAATATGCCCAAGGCATAATCACTAATCAAGTCACATCTTTTATCTAATCTCCTATCTAGACAAAAAGAGCATTTCTGGAACAATGCTCTGAGGTTGTTAATATCATCAGCCAAAGTAGACATTTTGATATCCTTAGCCACTCCCAACGTAATCACTTTCAGCAGCTGTGGGCTGGGAACATGGACTGTAATTTTCTGCCATTGCTGATGTCTGGCCTTTATAATGGCCATCTTCACAGCTTCTGCTATAGTCTGCAACTGATTTACTGCTTTCCTATCAATTAGTGCCCAGGCTGACACCACCTGATGGCTGTGGTTAATTGCTAAAATCCCAGTACCAACACTTTTGGTCTGTTCCTGCACACTAGTTGATATAATGGCTGTGGTTACCATTTGATACAATTCAAAGGCCAGTAATGTTCTATTGTGGGTTCTGTGCGAAACAAAATTTTGGATTCTATTTCCTTTGCTAGCACCATGCCAAACCCAGGGTTACCATTTTGATGCAATGTGTCAGCGTGCAATTTCTGTTCCCAGTCTTTTTGGTATCATCGAGTAGTAGTTTGTTTTTTACTAGTAAGCGACCTTGCCTCGTTTACTCTGTTTTGTCTTTACAATTGAAAATCTCAGGTTATCATAATCTTTCTGAGAAAACTAATTATAGGTATGCATTCAATTACAGTAATTAGACATTGAAATAAGTATTATATATTAAACATAAATAACACCAAAATCATTTCTCATCCAGTATTCTTCACTACGACAGCTATTTCAAAAACAGAAAGATCACAAGAGTTATATATATATATATATATATATATATATATATATATATATATATATATATATATGAATTTGCCACAACACCTCTCCCCCCAGGGTTCATGTTTTGGTCCTCTAATGGCGTGAAAGTTTTCTTTAACATGCTTTACAACTACAATCTTATGGGCCCCTCAAAATTAATTTTTTTTTAAAAGTTATTTATAACGGATAATTTTAGAAACCTCCCCTGAGGTTTCTAATAATTTCACTTGGCTCCCCTAAGGTTTTAAAAATTATACGTACATCCCTTGTGCATTTAAAATAACAATATTAACCTTAATATTTTTAATAAAACTCTCTTGTTGTCTTGTTTATGTAGAGGATGGATTTTATGATTTTTTTTTTTTACCATTTTCCTTCTTATTCATTTCTCTTATATTTCATTAGAAATATAGAAGAACTATCAATATTGTCCCAAATACATATTCAAATTGAACGTTAAACTAGTAATTTTTTTTTATAACTTTTAATATCCTCCAATTTTTTTTGTAGCTCTTTTTTTGGGGTATTAAAATCAAGGATAAGTCAACAATAATTAAAAACAAATGGCCCAAAATCATTACTAAATTATGATAGTTCCACAACTAAACTAGCCCATAAATTTTTATTAAAAAAATAGTTCATAAACTTTAAAAGAAACAAATAGCACTTTTTTCTCTATCTTAAAAAGAATTTATATTCCCAGTAAAGCACTATGAAAAATACCCTATTATAGCAAAATATTTATTGTTATAGTTGATTATTAAATAACAAATATTAGTATGAAAAACTTGATACTCTTTTTATTCAGAAGAACAAATTGAACTTTGTAAAATAAGGGCATTTTAGGGTATTCGTTAAATTTTTTTTACTCTATTTTAAAGTTTGGTTACCAAAGTGTCAAACCAAAGGAGGTAAGTGTAATTTTTAAAATATCAAGAGAACTAAGAGAAATAGTAAGAAACCTCAAGGGATGTTTCTGAAGTTATCCCTATTCATAGAGCAAATGCATGTATGAAGTTCACCTGCTCAAGCCACCGATCCTGGTTCCGTCATTGATTGATATTTCATATAATTTGATAGAAGTTCTACTATAACAATTGTCTTATGTGAGATATTGTTAATTAAAAAACAAAGTATGTAGAATTTTCTTGAAATATGCTTGTGAAAAGTTCTACGGTCTAATCAGAACCCTATACAGACTAGAAGCTCGAACAATTATCTTTGAACAATTGCATATTCGAACAGTAATTATTATAGACCAAAGACCTGTAAATTTACACTTTGAGTCTAAATATCTATATTTTTCATGTCATGTAACATCTACAACAAAGATTGACCTTTGAAATTTAATCAGACAAATGATATCAACGATCCATATGCTAAATTGTTTTTCTACAGATTGCATTGGTGTCATCCAACATAAGTACGTATGAACCACATTCTTGTTCAGATAAGCACTGACAGATGTTCATCCACAATTAGCCTCTCAAGAGTGCAAAGTAAGAATCGGTTATAAGTTAGGGATGCACAGTGGATTAGTCCAATCTATACTGCAATTTTGGTTAGAGAAACTTTGACAGGTATGAGATATCCATTGAGGGTTGGCCTCTCAACATGAATCCTTATTTAATCACTAGCTAGGCTTCCTGTCTGGGGAACATGGAGCCTAATATACAAAATATACAGACTTGACTTTGATCAACCGCCTCAACTCAGTGCTCTAAACGGCCAATACGTGGACAAATGCCACTTAAATTGAGCTGGAATCAAGAAATGGAAGGCCTCTGAACTCTACCTTTCCCTACCCTCTTCACATTGTAACATGTAATCTACCAACATATCCATTGAACTTGGAAACATAAGTCGGAAGAAGGAATATTATCCAGGTTGTACATTTTGATGAGGTGCATTAGGAGGAGGGTGGTGAATGTGATGAAAGCGGGTGGCGGTTCAAGAATCATGTGATGAAAGGGGGAGGATGTGGATTAAGGAAGTTTGGCTATTGTAAAGAATCATGTGGATGCATGTGGATTGATTGATTGAGTTGGAGAACATGCTTACATCTCTTTGCAATTCTCACTAGGTGTACTTGGCCCTCCTTGCACCCTCCAACTTCCATGGCTCCAACCAACATTTGTTCATATCCCATATTCCCACGTTCCTAATTTCCCATCACCTTGGAAGCTAGGCTAATTGCTTCTGTGCAAAGCAATCATTTTGTAACAGAGGACCCCCTGAAACTTTTCATTTGAATGTTGGATTAATTTCACAACAGCCCCTCCAAAGGTCCGACTTTATCGCTTTGCCCCTTGAATGTCTAGTTGCATCAATTTCCTCCATGTGATATGTAAATTTTCTCAACCAAACTGAAATACATTAAGGCTCTGTTTGATAACCATATTCAGCATTTAAACTTAATGGATTCAGAACTTAACATATTCAGACTATTTGATAACCAAAAATTGAATATCTGAATTAATTAAGTGGTATTGAATTTCCTAATCAAAATTTCCTCCAAAAATTAAGGGATAAACTATTCACTTATCAGTGAATGTGATATGCATCCAAATATATTAGATTTAATAGTTAACAATTCAATAACTTAATAGATTCAAACTTCATATTTCAGATTTCATATTTTAATTTTATCAAACGCACCCTAAGTAGACAATGTCCAATTCCTCTTTTAGTTTAAAATGACATATTTAAAGTCTTATTTTGTTTTGAAAAATACCCTTATGTGTATGTGCAAGTGCAAGGCATTTTCTATGCACGCAACTCTATTTAGGCATCTAAATTTTTTTCTCTTTTGATGATATGTACAATAGTTGTGCGTATCCAAATTCATCGAAAAATGGCATTTTTTTGAAAAGAAAAATCATGCTTGAAATATTTAGTGCTGATTTGATTGATTCATCGATAACATGTGCATGCCATGTAAGCAAACAAAAGAAGGATGGGGACTTATTTGTCGATTGTTTTTAATTGAAAAAACATTTAAAGACTACATGAGAGAAATTGATGCAATTGAAAATTCAAGAGGGCAAAGTGATAAGACTTCGTTGGTGTTGGGGGTCCCTTTTAAAATTAACCCTTGAAAGTTTTCTCAAGTCTTTCCAATCTAAAATATGTAAATTTCCTTGATGCAATTTTTTTTTCTAATTTTAAAAGTGCACATTTCATCCATACATTTCGGTAGAGTGCACCAACAACAATACAAGATTGATCATTGAGAAAAAAGAATCACATTGCATGAGATAAATAAATGAAGAGATGCATATTTTATATAATTTTCGCCATTCATGTCCTATTAGTGCATGTACATAATTACAAAATATACCCCTATCCTCAACATGCATGCATGTGCACACCGATGCCTGAATCGACTCCATCTAACAATTGGTTAGGCTTTCAATCCATGTGGCCACAAGACAGTATAAAATCCCAACAAGGGTTGCCTCGCTATCCATAGCAATTTCATCTTCTTATCCATCTCAGTCTTCTGTGGTCTCTTGAAGTTGATCAGGCCATCTATCATGGGCGGTCCTAATCAACCTTTCCTCATTTCCAGCAATCTCTTAATCAAAGGAAAGTGCAATTTAGTCAATCCTTTGTTGAGCAAAGTCCTAGAACTCCAAGACAAGAAGAGAAGATGTGCAGCTGATCATTCTGGCTTCAGAAATGGACGCAATACGAAGATGAAGATCAGGTCTCGACCAAGGTTTCTGATGATGAGGAGGGCTTGTCTGGAACGTCGAAGACGAGGGCCTGTAGGAACTTCTGGCAATGGGATTCAAAGAAAAGTGAGGATCCTCAAGAAACTAATACCAAATAGCGAGTCAAGGGAAATTGATGCTCTTTTCCAAGAGGCTGCTGATTATGTTTTAGCGTTGCAGATGAGAGTCAAAGCAATGCAGATTATGGTTAATCTGTTGTCAGGTTCTGCCGATCATCAAGAGCAAAATTAATTATCTGTATTGTGTGTAAAAGTTTTAGAAGCCGCTGATATGTTAATTCTTTGTTATTCAATTTTTTTCTTTCTTTTTTATTTTTTGTTATGGTTTAATTTCTTAGAGTGACTCGAACACAACAGCTGGTTTTAGAATCGTTGCATGTGTTTTGAAATCATGTTGATCATTGCCCTCATAGATTGGAGGTGCCACATTCTAGTGAAAAATTCCATGAAAAACTCTGAAATATTCTTTGATTGACATGTTACTTGTCCGTGTACTAGATCTTTTTCTTTTCTTTAACCTGCCTCCCTTTCCTACACTCTATTATCAGATCCAAGATTCAAACCCTGTACCTGATAACAAGGAGAATGTATACTCCGATCTTGATTAAATTTGATCTGTACATCTTAGGTAGTGTGGTTCACGCATAGCAGCAGCAGCAGCTGATCAACGCGAAATCCTATGAATTAGTACGCCTTTAAAATTAGGCAAGTAAAAATGGCACGATTAAAGGCGTGGTTTAATAACTCCAAAGAAGGCAAAATATATTTGCAATTCGCACCTACAAGGGCATGCATAATGGAACTCATTTAGCTTTTCACCGCCATTTGATCCATCACAAAATTAATTCGAGACACGATTTCGTTTGATTTTTATGAATTTTCATGCTAAATACATATTTCAGGAGAGTATTGTTTGCATTTCAGAATGGAGATCAGAATCATAAACCTCACTATGTGTATGAAAGTGTATGAATTGTCGAAAACAAATAGGCTTCTTTTTTTTTATTTCTTTTCACAATCGCCAGATTCAGCATTCGAACCCTAAATTTAATAGTGAGAAAAATTCTAAAAACCCTCCTCTAGCAAGATAGATTTCATATTATGAATAGGTTTATAATCTAAATCCCAAATTATAATTGAGGAGTAATGATGTACAAAATCAAATATTTTCCTTCCCATTGATTGATTCTATTGATGGTATATCCAACGATAAGAATGGAGTATCATTAACTTTGATGTTGATTCATTGGCATGCATACCCATTTACCAAACACTGCTTAGCATTATGAAGTGGTTCACCTTTTTTTCTTTTCCAAAATAAAAATTTTGAATTGGCTAACATGATCATTGGTAGGCCTGTCAATGGGCCGGGTTCGGGCCGGAATTCATTATTCCGAACCCAAATCCGGCATACTATCTCATATCCATATCCGACTTGTTTACCCAACGGGTCTCGAATCCGGGTCGGGTCTACTCGAAAAAAATTTATCAAAGCTTATAATATCTAACAAAAATGAGAAAAAAATTTATTTGTAAACTAATTTCTAACTAATACCAAAAAAAAATAAGAAAAGAAATCAAATTGACCTTATTCAAATACATCACCCTAATCAAATTATATTGATAAATATACATATTTTAAATTATTAATCCATTTATATCCGGATTTGGGTCGGATATGGGCCGAAACACTATATTCCGTACCCGACTCATTTTTTTGTTTAACAAAACCGATCCGGATCCAGATCCGAGTAACGGAATTAAATCCCTACCCGTACCCGGCATAATTTGATGGATCAGATCCGGGTCCAGGTTTAGACTTGGACCGTTAACAGGTTCATTGGCAATGCTTTCACCTTTGTCAACCAATTTAGGATGTCCAATGGACCCTCCCAAAAGGATGAAGAAGAACCCCTGTGGGCCTACACGACAGCCCAACAGCCCAACAGAACTGATTCTGTGCTCTGTAACAAATTTGGGCCTCCTTCCTTGGAATCATTCGGCACAAGTGAAGACTGAAACTGGGCCCCCGTATAATGTGTCGTCTTTCAGATTAGATGCCTTAGATGTTGATTCCATGCCTGAAAAAGTCCAACACATGTAATTCTTTTGTTTCTTTTTTCGTCACCGACTATAATATATAGGTTGAGTTGAGTTTTCTTCCATTCTCCGGTTGATATAATTCTTAACAATAACTAAATATAAACTCATAAAGGTTTAGGATTTGTAGGCCTCTTTATTAAACTTAAAAAATTTTCCGTAGAAAATTGCAAACCAAACAAGGTTTTAAAATTCTCTTCGTTGATAGGTTCAAGGTTCGAATTTTGAATCTGTAGTTAAGAGTTGGAAAAACGTGGAAAGGGGTGAGATGGTTCAAAAGAAAACTCATAAAGTTAAATTTTACTTAGGTACGTTAAATCTTATAAGAAATATTCCTATGAAAACAAAAGCTAACAAAAAACTGTATTGAATATGTATTATTTCCATGAGTAATAAAGAAAAATCTTCATTTACATTCACCACTCCATTCTCAACTCTAATTCCAATTGATGCCTTTGATAAACTAGAGATAGAGATCATCCTTCATTGACTCATTTTTTTTTAATAAATGGTTAGCCTTTTTTTTTCCCCCAACTTATTAGGTCCTTCGATCTCTTCATTAGTCCCCAACCCGATTTAATTAGGTATAATTTTCACTTTTGCCCCACAGAAAATTCATTTTATCTCAAAATTTCCTTACTAATTTCAAGCTCACATAAATTTGACAAGTTCTATAAATAGCATCCTCATATTATCTGTTGATTTAATTTTCTTGTGTTTTGATGCAAAATGATTAAAAAAAAAAGAGCATGAAAATGTAGAAATGCAAACAGTCATATCAAAAGGCAAAAGGCACGAGGCATGGACATTGCTTGGTAGCATAATTTGTTGGTCACTGGTTAATCTCACATGCTCAACTATTACTGGATTGGCATATGTGCCTGATTGGATGCCTAAAAATTGTTCATTTTTTTTTTCCTTTTATCAATCATCTAATTTGGTCTCTCAACTTTTAAGCTTAACAGTGTCTATGCTATTGAATTTTCAATTTTCTGAATTTAGCTTTAATTTGTCCCTAATGCCAAAACCAATTAAAAAAGTTCTCATTTCTTCCCCCTAAGATTTAGTTTAATGTTAATTAGGCCTTGGCTAGGTATGTCAATGGGTTGGATTTTATCCAAATTCAACCCAAACCCAATATATTTGGGTAGGATTTGGATTTAATTTCTCAAATTCAGACCCTACCCAAACCCAGACCTTGTGAAAGAGTCGTGAGTCTAGATAGGGTTTGGTTTTCTAAAATTCATATTCAAATTCAGACTCATATTAGACATTATCTAGACCCATATATACTTAATTAAATAATATATATTATTAAATTTATAAAATAATCTAATATTTATAGCTATTGGATCGAATATAGTAAGATTTTATAGGATGAATGTAACAAATCAATATCAAACTTTCAATGTAAATCGTGCTAGTGGATAAGATACACATGTTTTATTGTTTTTGACATACATTAGTTTTTTCTACCAAAAGAAAAGAAATCTGAAATAGTTATTGATTAACATGATCATTACTTGTGATTATTGTTTTTGACATACACTAATTTTTTTTATAATAAAATAGAATAATTTTATTAATCATGAGATCAAATTTGCAACAAGTGCAGAACAAATAAAAGATAGAGGAGATTTTCTCCATGTACAAGAATTTAAAAGATTAACAGTATACTTAGCAGGGTTATGAGCAGGAACATTAAACGACCTAGAAATCCATGAAACTTCCCAATACATGAAATCTTGACATAAGACAATGGTATCATCAATCAACAAAACACATGATGAATCGTCACATTCCAAACGGTCCAGCATTTTGATGACTTTTTGTGAATCTCCTTCCAAAACAATCTTATTGAAACCCAAAGATTGTAGTAATTGAATAGCATGTTTGGCCGCATATGATTCAACCACATTTGGTTCCAATATCCCAAGAATTTTTTTGGAAAGGCTAGCAATGAAACTTCCTTTATCATCTCGGATAATAACACCAACCCCCGATAATTTATCATCCATAAACACAGCTCCATCAAAGTTTGCCTTAACAAAACCTGCATTGGGTCGTATCCAATGACCTATTGATAACCTTGATTGAAGAGAGGTAGGCGTATTGCACTTATTTTTGGAATTTGCTTCATGGAATTGATTTAGGAATGCTATGAACAGGGAGACCAAGCTAAGAGGATCTCTGCAGGGCCCATCAAAGATCGCTTCATTCCGATTATTTCATAAATTCCAAAGAATAACACCCATCAACTCCATCTTTTTGCTTGATAGTCGCAAGAGTTGGTTGGGAAGCCAAGATGTAATCTGATCAGCGATTGCAGTTGAACTTTCTGGCTTAAGAAGACATACACTAATTATTCTACCAAAAGAAACAAAAATCTGAAATCGTTATTGATTTACATGATCATTACTTCTGATTGAGAAAATTTATTAAGCTTTGAGGTAAATCAAAAACAGACATAGAAACGACGACGTGTTAAGGTGTAAACGGAAGAAGTGACGATATATCTGAGACACATACAAAAGCCTCTGCTCAGTCATCAAATTGAGACTTTTCCAAAATCCCGATAGTGCCCGCTGGCTATTCCTCCGGCATCGGCGACAGCGTGCAAAGAGCCACCTCTTCTTCCGCCGTCCCAGAAACAACTATTACTGATCATAATGGTGTAAGAGAAGAAATGGCAAGTGCTGCAGATGGCTCCGTAGTTGGAAACCCTACGCAGCTTCTAGATGCCGAAACCCTAATCCTGTCGGAAAATTTAAATAACCAAAACCTCTCCTCCGATGACGGTAGTTCTTCAGGCGAACGAAATTTTCAGTCGTCATGGTCATCAGCTATTGTGGTTGGCAACAATCAAGATCTAATGACTCAAGTTTTACTGTTTTTGCCGGCGAAATCCCTAATGCGATTCCAATGCGTGTCCAAAGATTGGCTCTCTATCATCTCAAACTCGAATTTCCGCCGCCTCCATTCTCGGAAGAACCCTGGTGCCGAAGTTGGGCTGTTGATGCTGCGTAAAATACAGGGGAAATCCAAGCTCTATCATGTTCCTCTTTGCAAAGAGGAGTTAAATTCAGTAGGTATGATCAGTTCTCGTTTCTCTAATTTGTTTGACGTCGAAGGAGAAATTGTGGGGATGCATAGCTGTAAGGGGTTATTTTGTATTGATTTCTTGCCTGCGAATGAAAGTAGGAGATTTTATGTCTTTAATCCTACCACGAACCAGTGTAGGCGCATTCCTTTAGTTGATACTATGGACTGGTCTAAGTTTGAAATTGTGGCGGTTAATATTTGTTTTGATCCTCTAGAATCTGAACATTATAGCCTGGTCTGTGTTTGGGAGA